AATGCCAAATCGCTCAAAGAAACGGAAAACAACTCATGGAATCTCATCAACTATAAATACAAGAGATTGAGGCATCCTCATCGATATATAGATATACACATATTCTTCAGCATGCTACAACACTTACAGAATATTTTCTATTATTTGTTGTATTACGCTATTGCCTTGCAGAATATTTTCTATTATGCTACAACCTTCCCCATAATAAAATTCAAAATTACATATATATATATATATAGCGAAGCAGTGCCTAAAGGTATTTTTGGCAAAACAACATAATATCATAATGGAAATATCTGCTGTTCATTATACCACATTCAGAATTGGATTGAATCCTCTCTAGTCCTTTCACATGGCTAGAACAGAATTTGTATTAATGCAGATTTTAGATAGCGTCTACTCTAGGGACCACATTGGTCTGAGAAAGTAGCTATCCTTGGGGCCATACTTGCAAACCAAAAAAGAAAAAAAGATTGCCAATCAACAGACATATTTAATATTGGTGTTAATAATGCACATGGTTTAGTCTCATCAGTACTATTTGTTTTCTTGATATATATATATATATATATCCACTAGACAAGGCAAAGAGAAAAAGGGATCAGGTTCTTGGCTGTTTTAGAAGATAAACCCAGCATTATATATATATATATATATATATATATATAAAATATGCGCCATTTAATTTTATTTCAGTGTCATGTGCATAAATAAGTGCTTTTGAGGACATGTTTAAGCATGTTTTGAAGGGTCAGATAAACAGGTTTTGTTGCATTACATGGACCAATTATATCTCTTCACGAGGCCGACATGTTTGAATGATATATCATTGATTCTGATAAGAGGAACAATCATTAATTATATGTACCTAGTTCTCGACTCTTCACTGGCTCCAAGACTAAGACAATTCAATGCTATAGCTTATTAAGTACTAGATTTGTATCATATTAATGATCAAGGAATGGATTTAGACAGAAAACACGCCATGCATGCATGAATTTGCACAAGATCCTTTGTGTGTGTGTGTGTGTGTGTATTATATATATATATATCCCATGCATGCATGCATGAATTCTGCAACGAAAAACAAAACACTATCTAGCAGTAAATCATCCAATTTGTTTAGAGTTGCCAATTCTTTTATGACAAAAGTAAGAATATATACAACCATGTCTTCGTTAGCTTTACTCTAATAATGTGAAAAATAAACACCAAATGTATACTTAACTTTGGTTCTTTTATTTTGCACATGCTCATTAATCAAATATTACCAAGTCCCAGATCTCAAATAAGAGTATAAGATGATCCTAATTCCCTCTAGCTATTCTAGCTAGCTATTACAAACTCCCAGATCTCAAATAGTACTTTAGGCTTTACTAATGAATTGATTTCAGCAAAGGCCAAATCCATAACATTTTGTTTTGGCTCAAATTGTAATCCATAACATGAATAGTACACTTTAAGATGAGAAGCATTTATTTTGAAGAGGTAGAAATGAAATGTATGTCATGACTGCCGCCTAGAACTATAACAATATGCCGCAGAAAATAAATAATTGCAGCATGTGTAGGGACAAAACAAAGCCATTCCCACAATCTGGATATCTACACATACACACACACACACACACACACAGAGACACACAGACACACATATCAGTACACCTAATTTGCACAGAAGAAGGGACAAATTACATGAGAACCTTTTGTTTTCCAAATCCACAAATAAGATTTACTCCACATGCAGTTTTCCGCAAACGTACTTACGCATATATATATATATATTTATATATATATACATATATATCATGCTTTTGTTAAAGGATAAAAATAAAAATAAAAAAATAATCATATACATATTCTGTGAAAGGATTTCTGCCTTTCAGCGAAAAGCATATTAAAAAATCTACTTTGGAAGAGTAAGCAACATTATATGGGCTATACTTTATCCATATATATATATATATTTATATATATATACATATATATCATGCTTTTGTTAAAGGATAAAAATAAAAATAAAAAAATAATCATATACATATTCTGTGAAAGGATTTCTGCCTTTCAGCGAAAAGCATATTAAAAAATCTACTTTGGAAGAGTAAGCAACATTATATGGGCTATACTTTATCTCATGCACTTAATGCATCTAGCCAACTTTGAAGCTATGTTGGTTTCAAGAAGCAATATTGCTTGAATCTAATATTAATGAATCTTGTTGAGGTCAGATTTCATACCTCATCTCTCTTCGTACACGTGATAATTTAGGCTCCAAAACGTCACTAAATAAGTCATTTCGACTCCCCAGACATGCTAAAATGACTCATTAATCAGTCAATTCCAATGGTTGATTTCATGAGTCGACACACAAGCCTTGGGCACCAAGAAATCAGAGAATATCCTCAGAAATTGGCAGCAGAATCATCCAGAAAAAGAGGAAAATTAGCCAATCAAGCTAGAGGAATTAAGAAAGAAAGAGGCCAACGGTTAACTTAGGCCGCAAGTAACACTCTCATTGGAAAAATCGGATTGCCTTCCACATAAGGAAACTATATCCTTAGTAACCGCACAATAATAAAGCACAATCAACTCGTAATGGGTAACAAATCACGTTTGACTAGTCAACAAGAAGGTGAATATGTTAAGAAAGATCAAATATCACTCAAAAAGGAAATAAATATCACGAATTGAATGCCAAATCGCTCAAAGAAACGGAAAACAACTCATGGAATCTCATCAACTATAAATACAAGAGATTGAGGCATCCTCATCGATATATAGATATACACATATTCTTCAGCATGCTACAACACTTACAGAATATTTTCTATTATTTGTTGTATTACGCTATTGCCTTGCAGAATATTTTCTATTATGCTACAACCTTCCCCATAATAAAATTCAAAATTACATCTCATGTTTAAGGATATTCCCAACACATTGATGAATAAATATTAGAGTAACCACTAAAACCACTCATATATATATATATATACTGTGAATTATGTACCTAAAACCAAAACAATATCTAGCAGTATATCATGCAATTATTAGTTTAAATTAAACGAGTGATAAAAATGTTCCAATTATTCCTTATAAGCTTTACTCTACAATGTGAATACACAAGGAAAAAAATTGTCAATAAATTTTTTGCTTTATTTTGTACATCATTATTCGTGTTAGACTTTGAGACGCCCATAACGGTGCATAGTCTAAAAATCAACTCCCAGATTTTATTTATATAAAATATTAAAAAAATATTATATATTATGAGGTAAAAAGATATTTATTTATATATATAAATAAATTTGGTAGGTTCGGGCTAAGTTAAGTTAAGAAAAACTCAACCTAAACCCACCCAATTAATAGTCTGGTTGGGTGGGTTGAGTTGAGCTCTTCATCAGATTGTGTGGGTTGGGTTGAGCACTTCATCAGGTTGGTCAGGTTTGGATTATAACTTAATTATGCAATAGTTGAACCCATATGCTATGCATGTGAGAGTAACTTTGTAGGTTGTATCCGTGTGTTAAGTTTATTATTATTTTCTTTTTTTTTTTCGTTTTTGGTGAGAATTACAATTTATCGTTGCGGATATCAACTTTTGCCGTCGAGCATGACATTAAATAAGAACAACTTAATTAACTAGGTATTAAACTGTTGATCAAAAATAGAAACGACACAGAATTTCATATGTCGTGTTTAAGCTACTAGTATATGACTTTTGCAAAACTTCTTTTCTCGTTCCGTTAAGAACATGTCGTTTACTTTCACGTTCACTGTCGTTTAAATGAGAAAACGTAAGACTTTATTTGCCATTCAATATTTTCAGTTGTCGTATTATTAAGCTACAAGTATGTCTAACTAATTCAAAACTTCTTTTGTCGTCCTGTTCGTTCGTTTACTTTCACATTTTCGCCATCCGTTAATGGTGAAGACGTTTATTTGTCATTCAATATTTTTACGTTGTTCAATTTTGGCCCCAAAAAATAGGGGTTGTCTTACTTTTCACTCCATAGTTTAAAATGGCACAAAACTAACCTCTAAATTTTCAGATTTTTCAATTTTAGTATTTTTGTCAAAGAAATGTCATTTCTTAACAAATTTAAGCACATGCGACATGGCTGCATAAAAAGGGTATTGTAGCAAATTTAAACAAAATGAACTTTGTAATTTTAGAAAAATTTGTCCAAAAAAAAAATATATATATTCACAATATTTACTTGCTCTAAATGTTGCCTTTCTTTTGCTTGCAACCATGGGATCGCCATTTCTCTCCTATAATTTCTTTTACCAACTAATCATGTGATCCTTAAACAAAATGAACTTTGTAATTTTAGAAAAATTTGTCCAAAAAAAAAAATATATATTCACAATATTTACTTGCTCTAAATGTTGCCTTTCTTTTGCTTGCAACCCTGGGATCGCCATTTCTCTCCTATAATTTCTTTTACCAACTAATCATGTGATCTGTGTGTGATTAAAATTGTTTTAAAAAAAAATGATTGTCGTTTTATGGAAGTACCAAAGTTGCAACAAATGATAAGTTCAAGGGTCAGTTTTTTGCCATTTAAATAGTAAGGAGCAAAATAAGACAAACCCCTTATCAAGGACTTAAATTAAAATTAACCCAAAGGCTTTAAGCAATAAAGCGACATGTCATTGCCGTGCCCTGGGTTTCCTGGCATGAGTTTGCAAAGGACGTATCGCTTTTCCGGGGAATTTGCTGTCGTTTATTTTGAGAAACGCGGTTTCGTCCGGGCTGTAAAATTTTGACTAAAACGACATGCAATTTCTATAGCAGTTTACTTTTGTTTGTTAAATATAAAAAGGACATCATTCGAAGAGTACTGCCTTCTAAGAAACAAGAAGCAAAAAGGATCTCGTTTCTTTGATAACAACAGCACCTGGAATATTTATATCTACAGACTTAACAGTTCCTGGACATGAGCTTATATTCGTGAGATCGAAAAGAAAAGGCATTGATCTAGAAGGCAAAAAGAATTTACTCGAAAAATTTTCAGAATTTTAATCTCACATGTCACAAAGCTAATTAGTCCACCAAACAAGAACCTCGGAAGCCAAGACTAGTTGCTAGTTCTTATCACACCACAAAACCTGAAATCAAAATATCAAACAAAGATTTCAAAAGTAAAGCTGGAAATTTGCTCAGGTAATCTACTGAGATAGACCTCTACTAAGATAGCAACACTGCGAAGAAGCCGTTTTGCTACTTCAACTACTGACAGAACTGCTCAACGGCAGTCACAATTTGGGCAGGCTGAACCACAGTCCATTCTTCCAATGTCCCGGCATACGGGGTTGGCACATCCTGCGAAGACAGACAAACAATTGGGGCGTCCAAGTAGTCATGGAAGTTCTCATTGATTGCGGATGTTAAACTGGCACCAATTCCACCAGTTCTCATGCACTCCTCCACAATCAGAACACGATGCGTCTTCTTCACCGAGTTCCCGATTGTGTAAAGGTCAAATGGCTTCAATGACCTGATATCAATCACTTCAGGGTCATAACCCTTGTTCACCAGAGTTTTTGCAGCCTGCATCACGTGATACCTCATCCGGGAATATGTTAGTATGGTGATATGTTCTCCAGGCCTCACCATCTCAGCTTCCTCAAGATTGCATATATATTCTTCATCTGGGATTCTCTCCTTGAGGTTGTAAAGCAACACATGCTCAAAGAGTATCACAGGGTTCTCACTTCGGATGGCAGCTTTCATCAGGCCCTTGGCATTGTAAGGAGTCGAGCAGGCAACCATCTGAATTCCAGGGATGGATTGAAAGTACGACTCCAGACGTTGCGAGTGCTCGGCACCAAGCTGCCGACCCACACCACCAGGCCCACGGATGACTATTGGTATCTTAAACTGACCACCGGATGTGTAGTGGAGCATACCACAATTGTTAGAAATTTGGTTGAAAGCAAGAAGGAGAAATCCCATGTTCATACCCTCAACAATTGGCCGCAGACCAGTCATGGCAGCTCCAATGCCCATACCTGTGAAGGAGTTCTCAGCAATAGGGGTGTCAAGAACCCTGAGATCACCATACTTCTCAGCCAAGCCTCTGGTGACCTTGTAAGAGCCTCCGTAGTGGCCAACATCTTCACCCATAACACATACAGTGGGATCCCTGTCCATTTCCTCTTCCAATCCTTCTCTTAGGGCTTCAAAAAGTAAGAGCTCATGCCTGAAAATAGCAAACATATCTCCTTAGGTTCAACCTCAAATCGATATGTATTATTATTTAATAGAAGCTAGAAATTTCTTATAAACCAAATAACCAATCAATAAAAATAGAAGGTCATGTGGCACAAAAGGAACCGTAGAGACATAATGCATTTGTTAAGATCAAACAAGAGTCATTTGATTTGTCTAAGACTAGAGATGCTGAAAACTTGGCTTGAAATGTTATGCATCTTGGTGTGAAGAAAAATCACTTACATCGCCGCTGCATTCAATAACAGAAATGAAATAAATAAAAGCATGACTCTTTAAAAGAACTATTGGCACAACACCAATAAGATATCATTGTGTGTTTCAAATTATAATTTGCAATTAAAAGTCTTTAAGCATAAAGTCACATAAAACAAAAATTCCGGTGACTCAACTAAGCAAGATTGCTACAATCAGCAACCTACTTGATTTCTCCGTAATTAAATGATTTAGAAGACAATAAGAAACAATAGTTAACTACCAGAAGACGATTTTCTAAACTGCGACTAAACAAACATATAAAAGCTGATCATGGATCTCAAGCAATAAGGGTGAAAGGAAGCAGAAAGGGAAAGAAAAGAAAAGAGAAATGGCCTTTTCTTTGTCTTGAATACGTCAAATGACATGGATTGGATTGGGGTGTGGATTGGGCTTGGGAGGACACAGGTCTGTTCCCATATTGTACAATAAAAAATAAAAAAAAAAAGCAAAAGAGATAGCCAATAGTAAACGAGCAGTGATGCACATCATAAAAGTTTTATCCTTGATATTATGAATGCAGATGTGTCAAAATTTTGTAGGTTTGATAAAACTGACATTGCTGTTTTTATCTCAGCTCTTTTAGTCCCAAACAAGTCATATTTTAGTTTCATGATGAAATGTTATCTCATGGCATGTACCATTTTCCATAATAAAAACAGGTTAACCACACTTTACCCAATGCTGACCTACTTTTCACCCACCACTATAGAATCATAAAACAATAACTTAGTAACAACCTTCAATTTTCCTGCCTCAGTCACACTTAATTAAATCTCACAACAACTTTATAGAATAAAACCCTATGAGTAGGACACAATTTTAAACCGTTAGATCATTATCAGAATTATAAACAATTTAACGGAACTTGATTAAGATACACCACTTCAATGCATGAAGAATTTCCTACCACAAAATTCTCTTAATGTTCATCATCCTAAGTTATGAATTGGAATTGCATTCTCCCAAAGCAGTACCCAAGAAAACAACAGAACTATCAAATCCAACATTGCATGCTTGAGAATCAGTAACAACAGAAACATAAACCATCCATACCCGGGTTTCGATGCCGTCGAAGATGCAGAGCTGTCCGCCTTCGTCTGCCCAAATAGCAATTCCCAAAAAAATCATAACCAAGAACAAAAAGGAAACGAAAACCTTAAAACCAAACAAAACAAGAAAATGAAAGAAAGGAAAGAGAGTATTTAACTGCAACGGCGTTCACAACAAGGTTATCGGCACGGCGAGCTATCGGGGTCGGCTTCATCTCGGATCTGACGCAGAAAAAGCTTGCTTTCCTCTCTGAATCAAAATCAAACAATCAAAAACCCACATTGAAAGACAAAACCAGAAAATGGCGAATCAAATAGTGATTACATGATTATATTCGCAAATACCTGAGAGAGATCTGCGAGACGGAACGAGTAATTTGGTGGAGTCGAAGGAGTTGGACGACAAGGCCGTGGCGGTTCCGGGGCTCTGAAAGACGGTCGCCATTTTCGATCTTGTAGCTCAAACGGAAGAAGAGAATATGGAATTGAAGGACGGAAATATAGGAGCTTGTTTATGTATTATGTATATATGAAAGAACGAGAAGGGGAAATTTGAAGGGAAAGAAAATTGGGCGGAGAATCTGAGGAAGAAAGGAAGGAAAAATTAGTTGTTTTTTTTTTGCGGGGGTTTGTAGTTTTTACGTTCTTCTTATTAAGCTTAGCGTTGGGCGATTTAATTGAAGGAAATGGAATGCATTGTCTGCCACATATCACCAACAAGCTTTGCATAGTTTCCATCGCCTTTTCCCCCCTTCTCTCTCTGTTTTTTCTCTCGTTTTTTTTTTTTTTTTTTTTTTTTTTTTTTTTTCTTTTTTTTTTTTCTTTTTTTTTTTTCTTTTTTTTTTTTCTTTTTTTTTTTTCTTTTTTTTTTTTCTTTTTTTTTTTTCTTTTTTTTTTTTCTTTTTTTTTTTTCTTTTTTTTTTTTCTTTTTTTTTTTTCTTTTTTTTTTTTCTTTTTTTTTTTTCTTTTTTTTTTTTCTTTTTTTTTTTTCTTTTTTTTTTTTCTTTTTTTTTTTTCTTTTTTTTTTTTCTTTTTTTTTTTTCTTTTTTTTTTTTCTTTTTTTTTTTTCTTTTTTTTTTTTCTTTTTTTTTTTTCTTTTTTTTTTTTCTTTTTTTTTTTTCTTTTTTTTTTTTCTTTTTTTTTTTTTTTTTTTTTTTTTTGTTTTTGTTTCAATAATATTGGTTTGGATCAAGTGAAATGGTTTCATTTGTCTTTAGGTTTGATTGATGAGCAAGGAGAGGGATTTTGCCACGTGTGATTAGGAGGGTAATGGTGTCATTTTGTTATGGTTTAATCTTCGTGAAGGATACGTGGTGGATTGTGATTGGGGGAGTTAGGGTGTTTAGATCGGATTGTATGCTTTGTGTGAATGGTGTGTTGGTTAGCCTACCTGGACCAACCCTAACAAGCAGCTCGTTAATGTTCCAACTGTCTTTGTGCACAGAGATCAGCTGAGGTGGACTCATGCTTGCATCTAATTGGTCAATGGTTGCATTGCGTCGATGTACAACTATGCAACTTCGGCTCGGCCAACCCGCCCCAACCCGACCTCTGCTTTTAATAAAGAGAAAATTAGGTGGCATACCACAATTATTTTATATGTTTTTAAATTTATACTACAACATTTTTGTGATTTAGATTTATACTACAGGCATGTTTAGTTCGCTGATTTAAATTTTTAATTTGAATTAAGATATAATTTTATGTGATAATTTTTAATTGTAACAAAAAAGTTAGATGTAATTATTTATGAGAATTTTTTATTATAATAAAACTCGAATTCTAAACTCGAATCGGTGAAATGAACGAGTTTTATAACTTTTTTGTGGTTCAAATTTATATTTTGTTTTGTTGGACAAATCCAAAACTTCATTATGTTTATTTGACGAATTGTCTATTTCACGTCATCTTTGTATATCTATGTTCAATTTTATTTTATTTTATTTTTTTTTACATCTCCGCAGCATATCTTCAAAATATATATATTTCAATTATTACAAATATAATACCTCATCAACATATTTTCATTGCATCCTTAATGTTCATGAGTTATCATGACATGTGAATATCATAGCCAAGATTTTGTTACAGTGTTCTCTCTCACAAAATTCAATTTTAATTTTTTGTGTTATAGTATTTTTTCTCACATAAATTCACTTTTCAACTTAAACCAGCAAAATAATGTAATTCATGGTTGAGAAGGAACTCAAGCAAGATTGTAAAGGTCACTCATTGTTTTTAGGATTGATTCATTAAATGCCCTTTAAATTTTGTACCATTTTTTAACATGCCCTGATATTTTGAAAATGGTTCATTAGTTTAAGCTCTTAAATTACGTACCTTAATTCAAAATGTCCATATATTTATAAAATTAACAAAATAATGATGTGACACTACTTTTACTAATATAAATGTCTCCTAAACTATTGATTTTAAGTTAACTTGCTACATAAATTATTATTTTTATGTCAACTTCAAATATCACGGTACAAATTGACATAAAATCAATAGTTCAAGGGCATTTTGGAAAATATTATTTCATACAAGACGAAGATCATGAATGTAGTGCAACAAGTCCTAGTATTAGGGCAATTGGAAAACAATTTATAAAAACATGTGGTGTGGTTCAAATGTGTAATATTGATGAGGATCCTGTGACCTTGAGTTTTGATTCCATGAGCTTAGGAATTGAACAAAGTTCATATGGTCATAATCATCCGAATAGTCGTCACATTAGATCTATTTCATAACTACAAAATCAAGATAGTTTGTTTATTATATTAGTGTATTTCACCATAGGTCAGTATTGAAATGTCATTATACATCCTTAAAGACGATTCGACAAGTTGGATAAACTAACAGTATCCAACATGGGTTAACAGTGGAAAGAGATCGAGAAACATACATGTGACACATCAACAACTACCTTCAGAATTATTCAATGGTAATATCTTAGTAATTGTATTGTTTATATCAATATCAGAATCTACCTAATACTTTCCAACATACTAGAAACTCGTTTTTGTATTGAAAGCACTTTGAGTCTGTCTATGCTCCATTATGTTTGGTAGTTAATTTTCATACAATATATTGAATTATCTTACCTTGTTTGTACTAATTGTGTAAAATTATATTTGAATCAAAATCTATTTATAATTATGATAATTTTTTACTGTACTATTTGACATAAATCTCATTTTTGACGAAAATGTATTATTTTTGTAACGACCTGACTTTTCATATTGTTAATTAACTTAGTTAAACATTTGAATACTCTAAGGCCATGTTTGGAATTGATCCCGTTTTCATTTTTCACATTTTTCAAGAAAGAAAAAATGAAAACATTTTTAAAACGGTGTTTGGTGCAATAAAGACAAAAAAGAGAAATGAAAATAATTTTTTAGTTTAGTGTAAAATGAGAGAGAAATGAAAAAATGACTTTTAGTCATTTTTCATTTTTTGTTTTCGTTTTCTCGTCTTTCGAACAGAGAAAAAGAGAAAGAGACATTAATGAGTTTTTTTATACTGAAAATAATCTCTTAATAAAACTACCAAACACATTTTTAAAAATAATTTCTATCTGAGATTGAAAACGTTTTCATTTTTATTTTCATACAAAAAACAAAATCATTTTGGAACGAGTTCTAAACGCATCCAAATTTCTCATATCAAACTTCACCGACTTATAAAAATTTTGAATATGTTTTTTTATATGTGACATATTTCTGACAAGCCATAAGAGATAAATAATAATAATTGATACACGTATGAAAGCTTTAATACAGTTTTAGCGAAAACTAGATTAAAACATTTTAACTGAAGACTCAATCTCACACTTTGTGTAGGAGAACGTAACGTTATGATATATACTTAAGATTCAAGATCACAAATGTTTAATCAATTTTAAAAGGTATACTAAGCGTTAACGAAGATGATCATGAAATATATAATGATAATAATAGCATGGATTGATTGTCAGTCTAACGGATAATGAAAGCATTATATGTCCTTCTAATAAGATGTGCAATTGAAAACGAAAGATCATAACCACATGTCTAAGTGTTTAATATAGGAAGACTTGTCCTATAGATGCAAGTATTTAAATCATGGAAGCCTAACATACTAGAATAGCAGTCTTATAAAGTTTATAATAGAATGGAACTTAAATGCAGAATTAATTGCTGGTGGTATCTATAATCCCCTTGTTGACCCCATTGCTCATGCTCCACCCTGCCAGCCCATCAAAAGGGTTTAAGTGGTGGGCTTCTTGCCTGAATTACCTATAGCATGAACAAATATGAGTGAGCTTTAGCTCAACAAGTACGAACTCAATCTCACAAAATAGTTAAAAGATAAATTCGATGCATGACCAATCATGAATAGTCTGATTATTGACTTTACATCTTATGGGCCTGTGTATGTACCGGGTGCACGCGACCAATGGGCTGTCGGGGGAGCGACCCAAATATATTATACCGACAACACCCAAGGTCATCATATAGATCATTCATCATTTCCCTATCTAGCGAGGGTTGGTACGATACTTAAATTATCTTTTCTTTACCATAGCCTCTTATTAGGTGAGCATGCAATTATAATCATGACTCATAATCAAAACTTAACATTTAGCTTGTAGAGGCAATAATACATCAATTAATTATTATCATGACATCTTAAATAACATATTGATAATTGCGATAACATCAATCAACAATTATTCAACAACATCAAACAATTCACAATCATGTAACATCAACTCTTTAAAACAGGTTCCATACTGCAGGTGAGGTTCGTACTTACATAATCAAGCACACCCTCATTTAGCAATTCCCGCTTACGTATCTTCTTTTAGAACACTCCCCGGTGACAACACTTATCAGTCAGCAATGGTCTTTTGGTCGATTCCTCGTTACAAGGCCTAAGTCTTTATAATATATTATGAGAATTCACACTAATTAAGTTCTATTCTAATTGTCTTAATTAGTGTTGATCGTTATCAAATAATTTTCTTATATTAAATGATTAACCGCGTATTTAATTATTAATTAATAATTAATTTCAAATTAATTATTAATTATTAATTAATTATTAATTAATTATTAATTTATTTCCCTTTCAATGATTAATAATTAATTATTAACTTAATTACTTAAACAAATTAAGTCGATAAATAATTTATGCCTACTTATTTACACTTCTTTTCTTAATTAATAATCAATTAATTAATATAAACTTATTTAATAATTAAATTCTAATTATTTATTAATTAGACCATTAATTAATTCTTAATTAATTTAAGAATTATGATTAATTAATTAATCAACTTAACACTAATTATTAATTAATTAATATAAACTTATTTATAATTAAACTATAATTATTTATTAATTAGACCATTAATTAATTCTTAATTAATCTAAGAATTATAATTAATTAATTAATTAACTTAATCAAGTTATGAAGAGTTTATTAATCACGTGGTAATCACTAATTAACAAATCCACATAAGTGTATCACCAAATTATTATCTAACTTAATCATCGGTTAAGGGTGGATTGACCTCTTTAATTAGTCGACCTAATAACATTAACCTCTAACCTTATTGGTCCATGAAGGAAATGTGGGTTTATGCTTGTTGGGCTTGAAGGGCTCGTAAGGGATTGTGGGTTTACTAAATTTTAAATTGTGCTTGGTCTTTTGTTAGTAACCTAGTGGGTAACTATAGGTAACTAGGCCCGTCTTAGGCCCAACTCACACATCCAAT